GAGAGATTGAGACTCTTGGAGTATGATATGCCCAGATCCTTTATAACCCTGGGCACATTTATGGAGTGACCTTCAATATTTAGTTGAGGTTGGTGGTCGTCGCCAACCACCATGGCTGAGCACTTATGCCAAGAAAGAGAAAGGCGTCATGTGCGGCACCACTGGGCGAAAGCCTGTAGATCGCTCTTTAGGAGCTCAAGCACGATGTCACGATCTACTGGCTTATATCGATATGCAACTTTAAGATCATCGGCATACATGAAAGGCTTACCATTCTGAAATAAATCGGGTACATCATTAACGAAAAGGCAAAATAAAAGCGGGCCGAGTACACAACCCTGAATGACTCCACTCCTCACACGTGTGGATTTGGAGATAGTATTGGAAATCTTAACTCGTTGTGTACGAGTGCCTAGGTAAGAGGATATAAAATTCAAAAGTTTGCCACCTATTCCGAAAGAGGACAGTTTCAAGAGAAGAAGAGCCTGGTCAACACGATCAAAAGCCTTAGTGAAATCGAAATATACAGTGTAAAGTGCAAAACTGTTGTCCCTAGATTGGAGAACATAGTCAAAGAAAGAGAGTTGACAGGTGTCACAAAATCGAGCTTTGAGGAATCCATGCTGAGCAGCATTCAGTAGGTTATTCACTGTTAAGTGACACATCATGTTATTTTTGATCAATGTCTCTAAGATCTTCGAAACTGCGGGGAGGGTGTTTATTGGCCGAAAGTCATTAAATGATGTAAATTTGCCGTGCTTAGGAATGGGTAAAATGTGTTATTCCTTCCACAAGGTAGGATAGGTTTCAGTTTCAAGAGCAGGATTAAATATCTTGCATAAGAGGGATGGGAAGATCGTGTTTGCATCGGCTTTTAAAATGCTTACAGGGACACCATCAGGGCCTGGACTATAAGATTGACGAAAACGCCGAATCGCAACAGTCACATCCCACAGAGTGAAAGTTATAGTTTCTAGAACTGCCCCGGTCAATGGCTGGATGGTCGGAAGCGGAGTGGTCGAGTCTTCAATGAACAATTTGGACAGGAAATCATTGAAGCTATCAGCGGTTAACTTGGCATCAACTAGGGGATTTCCGAGATCGTCTCGGAGGTTGGGATGTTGCGTCTTTCTATGAGTTCGTATTTTTCTAGCCAAAAGTTTTGAGACATTTAACGAATGGTTTTCGGTAAACTGGACCTCTCCGGCTAGCTGTTTTTCTTCAGACAGTCTCTTAGCTCGATCAAAAATATCACGAATCAAGGGCAGGACAGAAACGTTGTTCTGAAGATGGAAACGACAATAAAGTCTGCGCAATCTACGACGAAAGGGTAAGGGTAGGAAAACCTCATCCCCAACATTAATAATTTTCTTACGGGGGACAAAACGAGAAATAAGCGGATCCAAAATCTCGTACAGATTTGCAGTGCAAACATTTACATCCGAACTAAGGAAGAAATCAGTCCAGTCGTAGGAATTAAGGTGTGTTAATAATTCGGTTGAGCGAGTTGATCGTAAATTGCGGAAAAAGCTATACTTTGGGGACGACATTTTGTCAGCCTCAAATTCCAACGTTGAAACAACTATGTCATGGTCTGAGCCCCCCAGTGGGCCTAGGGATGACACTGACGATGGCATGCAGCCTCTACAGAAAATTAGGTCAAGTATGCTTGAGCCTCGGGTGGGAAAAGCGACAACCTGATTCCACATCCCAACATCTACAGCCTCAAGAAAGTCTTCGAACCCCCTTGGGCCTGAAGGCGGAGACCAGCGGACTTCGGGAAGATTAAAGTCATCCGCAACCAATTGACACTTAAAGCTTCAGTCGGCCGCAGCATGAAATGCCTGTGAGAGTAAACGATCGAAATTGTCGTTGGCGTTGGGAGGACGATAGATGCAGCCAACGAGTAAGGAGAGCTTATTTTAGTGCAAACTGGAGCCAGCAGCTGCCTTTTACTGCGGAAAAATGCAGGAGGTCCAGCGGCAAAAATGTAAGTGTTTGCTTAACGTAGACGCAGCTGCCCCCACCACGGCTATCTTGGCGATAATTTCGGATGCAATTATAGCCTAGAAGCGAGATTTCGGAGTCAGCTACTGAGGCTGATGCCCACGTCTCAGTTACTAAAACAATATCTGGACAATGGACGAACACCAGATTCCGAAGCAAAGGCATCTTATTAAGCAAGGATCTGGCATTTAAAACAAAAAGTTTGAAGGGGAAGGCTGTTTGTTATCCGGCGGCTACCATGCGTAACATAATCATGAGCATGAAAGACCGGCTCGACGCAGGTGAGCAGCCGGGCGTAGTCTAGTGAATCCCGTGCCATAATTTTACTTGCCATTACACAGACCAAACAGGAGGACGTCTCAGTTTACGAATGCTTGAGCACAAACGGGCCGTTCCGAGAGGCGACGCGCTATCTCAAGTCGCCTCTCACACGCCGGAGGAAACCCATGAGTTTGACTTCACTAACACGCGGATATTGGGGCGGGCCGGCAACAAGACGGGAACAGAAATGTTGGAGGCGCGGGTGTCGGGTACCAACTCTATTAATAGACACATTGATTTGCCTGCGTGTTATCGCACACTCCACCCACACAGCCAGCTGGTGCGGCTCACTTCGCCGCGAAGGATAAACGCCACCACCACGCCAGGGGACCATTGTGTGCAAGGCAGCACGAACCAGACCTGGCCACGCACGTAATCCCTCCCTCACGGTACAACAGTATAAATGTTCGCACGTTGCTACACTCTAACAGTCTCTGGTGGTGAACTACTGTTCGAGTTCAAAAGCTGATACCAATAAAGCTACCGTCTCAGTGATAGTGTTTTCGTCTTCTTTTAAACTAAACGTACTTTCACTTTCCTACAGGCAATTAGGCGGTGATCTCATAATAACCTTCCGCATAATAATGGCTTGAACTGCTGCTTTGCGCCAGTGATTTTGTCATTGAGACTAACACGCGCGCTCTGCGCCGTCATCCACCGAAACTGCTCATAATCAACTCAGGGATCAGTGAACGGAAGTTTTTATCAAGTAACAGACTGGTTGCGCCGTAGAACGCACCGCCACTGATGTTGTGCTCCCCGTCTGTTTGGATTCACTCAAGTGTAAATTCGACATGCATCAAGCTTCGCAGTTACCAGTGGCACACGCATCTACGTAAACAGCCGCAAACTCACGTACTGATATGCTATTTATAATAATTTGGTAAACTTTCGCGTTTGCCATTTTGACTAGCAGATGGTTTTTTGCTCTTCGCATAAGGTTACGTAACCAACCTATTCTTAAATTTTACATTTTTGGTACCTTATATTGGGCGAGTACAAGAAGTAGGGAGTGCATAAGGGTTCGACTAAATTTCCTTTAACGGCATTGGACTAAAAAATTATAACTGCATACCTCCTCAGCAGATGCATCAATTCCGGTGCGAACTTTGTCACGAAATCCCGGATTGTAATCAGAACCAACATGGTGTCCCCGGGACAATGCTCACTATGGCAAATGTAATTTCGAAAAATTGTGTCCTCATGTAAGGGCGTTTGAAAATATCAGTTTGCAAAATATTTTACATTGTCTATGAAAGTTTCCTTCTGTGAAGTTTCGAATACCGTTAACAAACATCTTCCCCACACTATCTTGGCAACGCTGAGGGTCGTAAAAGTTCAGCACAAGGAACAAAGCCACTGACTAGATACAGTTTGACATCGAAAAGCATCTAATTCATCCTCTCACGATCCCACACGTCCTCCTGTCCTTCTCCTTGGCCGCTCACGAAGAATTTGCATATTTGGTATAAAATGAAGTAGCGAATACGCAAACAAGTAAGTTGGAGATAATGGGAACATCGGTCAAAAGACTGACGCTTTTAGAAGGCGGCTCAGTTCTTAGTTTTGTATATTTAACGCGGGTGGATATATGCACATGTTACCTTATGGGGTTTACAAACAGGTTACTGTCAAGGTGCTTATTAACCACTAACGGACGCCTGGAGTGTGCGGTGGACCCAGCCCAATCGAGAGAAAGCCATTTATACAGGTGACTGCAGACAAGAACTGAAACCACCCCAAATATTCAATAAAGGTCTCATTGAAGTTGATAGGTATTCGTGCAGTGACGCGCGCAATGAAACAAACTCTTCCTTCTCTTCGCCACTTCTTCGTCTGTTTAAAAATTTTGGAATTGCTTCCATGTTGACGCAGGTTCTCCCAACATCTCTTAGGGGCTTTTACAGGTACTATGGCTGACAGCTCAACAATTCCCGAAGAACAAGTAATAGAAAACAGAGTTTCGGCAAACTTTGATGCGAAGGAAGAGCGCACACGAAGCTCAGCAGATCGTAGCATCTGTTGTCGTCAACAACCGTGTCAGCCGCTTAAGATGTTTACCCGAGAACGAACTGCGTCCCTGAGGCCAAGATTTGCGCGGGCACGACCAACTAGGGAAAATGATATTGATCGGTGTCGTGCCCTCAGCAAGACAAAGGTTTGGTTGCATGCGCATGCGTAGTACTTGGCAGGTGTACTAGGCAGACCGAAAAAAGGGGTAGGCATCCGGGCTGACAACCATGGCAGCGGACATCTAAAAGCTCCCTATTTACCTTTGTTTTTCGTGTGAGTTCCTTTTTTCTGTAACTTGAGTAAACTGTCGCATCGCCCTTATTACACTTATGGACTAATTCACCTTTACACCCGCGCAAGTGGTCGGGCTTTTGTCCTGTTTGCTGACTTGCTTGTAAATCTCCAAATTTTACTTGAAGACGCTTACTAACCATTCTTTTAAAATACCTCATTATTCTGGGATATGAAGCGGTAGCTCGAATAAATTAGTTGAAAATCATTCGTATATCATTATGGAAAGTCTGTTAATTGGCATCAGTATTGCATTGATTGCTCATATGCAAGCTTTCGGTCATAAATAACTGCAAATCATTATTTCAGAGAAGCTTTAGTAGGCCACTAAAGAAAATGACAAATAGGTGGATTTTTAAAACACTTTTATGAAACAGGAAACAATACAACTGAAACATTTATTTTGTTTTACCGCGCTGAAATTGAGAGGGACTAATCATAAGCATTTCGGTCCCGATTACTCCTGTCGCACGTCAATTCGAACAGTAGATGTAAGTAGTTTTCCCACGAATCCCTTCGAAATATGCGCTAACTTACTGAGAAAACACCAAGACTCCATGTTGTGTTTCTAAATTCACTGAGAACTGTGCTCGTGCTTTAGCTTTCGGTAAGATATCTGACAATTCTTTCATTGATCATTTTGTGCTATCGGAGTACTTACACAATCATTTTTAATTTTGTTTTGATGAACAGTGAGTACAACTGCGCTACCGTGGTTGCTATTTCTGCCTATGCACTAACGGAGAGGCGCGTTGTGCTCAGCTTGTTATCTTCTATGTCTTTAACATCCTTGCACACATTCCGTTTAAGTGTTCAGATATTAAACACTAATGGAACGCAGTAAACGTACTCTGTAAGTAGTTCACACAAGGGTTGCATTTGCAGTGCCCATGCCACCTAATTATGAGTTCTCACGTGCTTATAGTTCAAATGCCCAGTCACCTGACAGCTCCGGCATGTACAACATTGTTCCCCAACTGGCGCACAAATATATGATCTAGTCGGCTGTTTTGAATATCTGTGCTAACACTAAATGCTTGAGTTTGGCTCCGCACCACTTACCGTCGAAAGACATATGTTGGCTAGTGATTTGATAGGACTGTGATTACTCACCCTTTCTTTGATATTCCCACATTCACACACATTGCTGACATAATTCTTCGGGTCCCCACAGCTATCAACAAATGAACAAAATAACACTGAATGCATACAAACTGAAATTGGGGAGTCTTCCCTTGCGCGTAGTTTCTGCAACGTACCACGAAAAAGTGCTTGATCATTACGAGAATCCTCGTAACGTTGGTTCGCTAAACAAGAAGGACAAAAACGTCGGAACTGGTCTTGTTGGTGCCCCAGCCTGCGGTGATGTCATGAAATTGCAAATAAAGGTAAGATTGGGGCCTACTTTTTGTAAGAATGCGTTGTCTATCCTATATTTCCTGTACCTGTCCCTCGAATTAATTTATGCCAAGTCCATATGTTACTTTGATTCATTAGCGTCTGAGTTATCTGTTCTTTCACCAACTCGCCCCAAAAAAGGCCGGCCAATAGGCACCGGTCACGAAAAAACCTGACAGTCCTGTGTTGCGAAGTGTTTCTTCGCCTCGTCAGATGTGCAGCTGGAGCACAATTTCGGTCTCGCGGCATTGACGGACAAACAAATTGATTAAGCTATCTACCTTACTGGGGACTGTACGCTATAGCTAATCGTTGGTAAGCTCTGGCAGGTTAATGTCGTCAAAGTAGTTGAAGCCACACAGTGGATATCCTAGTATATGATCATTGCCGTCATCATCCTCATCCCCATCCTCCTCATCGTCACTCCCCCTTCCTGCCCCCATCTTCACCCGCACGCTCATCTTAATTATCAAATTTCTTACAATACTCCAGAGTACTCGGCCAGTGTCTAGTTAATTAAGATGGACCACCGGGTGCATCCCTGTTCGAGGCCTGACTAAACATCGAAGGGCTGTGATCGCTGTTCCGTCCGTTTGTATTATTCGCTGCGAGAACTCAGTGAGTGAAATTGGACGCCTTCGCCAGATTAACAAGACGGCTCTCCGTTGTCATGGCGGATTTAGAGTGTGAACCATCGAATCCTGCCCGGCTTAGAACCCTGCTTGCCTGACATCATCCCTTGTTCCACGTCACTGTAGAACTGATAGAAAGCCACAGTAGCAAAAACTCGATAGAATTAGATGACGGTTGTACCGCAGTACTTTCTTCATGAAGATTGGCGCAACTTTCGCTGAGTCCAAATCATGAATTACCGTTTCGTTTGCACATGCTTTCTAATCTTCATGTGAAACCACAACTGTACTATCAACGCGAGACAAGCTTTGACAGGGCTACCGTCATCCCCAGTCGCTTTTTTGCACAACCTTAGCATAGCATTTCTGGGAGGTATCCACGACAATACAGGCCGATCTTTGACATTTTACAGGTACCCAGCCATCACGCCGTCACTTGCGTCATGGTCAATCACTGAATGCAGTAGACCTACCACTGGCTTGGTGAGGGAATTACAAAGGCACTAGATGTCCGTTTGTGCGCGAATAATCGTTTGGGCTTGACAGTCCTTGCGGTCTCGCGTGGATAACTTTGCGTCGCTTTGTGGGGGTGACAGATAATCGTCATTACGGGATTAATTCCGGAGGCCGGATGGAAAACTGTATGACTCTTGAGCTGATGCAGTCATTGTGGGGTCGCCGGGTAAACTCGAGAACTCTTTCAACTGCCTCGCGGACAGAGGACTTTAGTGCTGACCGTTGAATATTGCCTCATCCTTCGACTCGTGCTACAAACCAAAACCAAATTTCTCTAGCGAAGACCTTGGCTGACTTGGATTTACCTAACTGTGTGGCACCAGGGTGTCGTACACGCGATGTTTTTAGCGCGGACGAGGGATTCAGTTGTCGGGCGTGTGCGAACGAAAACATGGTTTAACATGTAGGTTTTGCCAGTTTTGGCGCCACGAACTGATCTTCCATCACTCCCTCAAACACGAAATCTTGCACTGACTAGAATGTATTCCATCCACCTAGTGGTGCAGACTTCGTTTGAACATGAGTTGTTTGCAGTGGTGCTGGAAGCGCGCGCCTTGGTGATGACTGTCCGATTGTAGTCGGAAAAGTCCAACGTTACCGCACCACTGTTGCATCGACAACTAGGTCAACTGCTTGAAGAGTCAGACGCCCACTGCGGCCATTTCAGTCTTCGGAAATGATCAGATCGCGGAGAGGAAGTCCGTCGACAAGTTCGTCCAGCTGCAGATAAGTTCATTTGGTACGCCGGTTGGCAGCTGAACTTGGTGCGTACGTGGAAACGCCTGTCGACAAAATACCCCGCTAACCGTACGCAAGTCAGCCGATCATGAAATCGTTCTCACATAATCACTGCACAGTTTCCCTGTTGCAGGATGATCACTACTGGGTACAGGAAAACTCGTTTAATAGCGGTTCGCTGTCGCCAAGTCACGGTGCCGTCATCGAACCTTGCGACATTTTTCAAGACAATCGACGCGTTAGGCCCCAGACCGCGCCCTGGTAGTACTGTTGATCCTAGCCTGATTTTATTTTTCCGACGGATAAGTCTGCTTATTTCACGGCGAACCTTCGCGGAAGGCTGCTTCTCTATCCACTATGTATGAATGTGCCGGCAGCTTGTCTTACCCCTCGTGCGTTTATGATGCTATCAGCATCATAGGTCTCCTATACGGACTCGGTGTGGTCCTTCTTTGAGGAAGACAATCCATCCGCTCGTGCACGCAAGATTCCTCAGGGATATTCGGGTCCCGTGATTTAATTGAACATCCACATTACGTGGGCGAGCGCCTTCCGCACACCGACTCCAAGTTCCCAAGGGAGCACATTCCTTGCTCATGCATCTTTTTTCGCCTTGATTTTCATATAGGTTGATGACGAGGGTCGGATTATTGATGCCAAATTTAAGACTTTCGGATGCGGGTCTGCCATCGCCTCCAGTTCCTTGGCGACTGAATGGGTCAAGGGCAAGACGGTGGATGAGGCTACTACCATTAAGAACACTGAAATCGCAAAGGAGCTGAAGTTACCGCCGGTCAAACTCCATTGTTCTAGTGAGTAGTCAACACTCGTGACTTATCTACTGCACGTCTTTTCTTACACGTCTCCTCTTTCAAATCGCCAAAGTTGGGCAAATTTCCAGTTCATTTACTTAAGTCCTTTGTTTAGCTTACTGTGCTTATAAAATTGCCTCTTTATGCTCAACCACTCCAGCACCAAGTTGCTTTTGACGTCTCTTGTATTAGCTAGCACTACATCAGACTAGGGTTGTATGCACGTTTTCTTTCCTGCACGCTACCACGATCGCATTTGAATTGGGATCCACTTAGACTTACCAGAACCGTGCGTTCTAGAAGAAAACGGAGAACTGCCGATGCAAAGATTCTTGTTAGTCATTTTGGTGTTGTCCCACGCTGGCTGAGCAGAGTGACTTCTTCTTTTATTGCCTTTGCACCAGCTAGTCCTCTAAGACAAACCTGGTCGTAGCGCGATTACGAGTTGCTAGGATTGGCTTTGTCTTCGCGACACTGACAAACGCGGAAAACCTTAGTAAGGAATAGTACGCTGTAAGAATTTGAAGTGCGGCAGTCTAGTTATACCGCAAAAAGGTATTTGCCTGCTGTGCTAACTGCGCCTCTTGTCCTCAAACGGCCTGCCCTTTTGCGGATGCGTATTCGACCTATATTAACTTCCCCTTGCGAACTTGTCTGTGCGTCACACGAAGCTAAAACCGCATCATTTTCGTGTCATGATTTCGACCTGCGTATACAACTCCTTCGAAACCTTCACGGGTACTGTAGAGTGTTGCTGACTAGCCAATGTATTGTGCTCCACGTGCTATAAATTGTATTCTGTCCGCCGCATGGACGCAATTGCTTCATGTATGCCTGTTCAAAAAAGAAACGAAGTCCCCGTGTTCTTTATTGACACTCGGAGTCACAAGAGCAGATCGAGGCTCACCAGCGTTGTTCTACTCGGAAAAGATTTTTATCTGAAGTATTCTGAGACAGAGACTTCGAGAGAAGGTTCTGTTAGCGCAGCGAGAATTCGAATGCTCTATTTTCCACTGCAGCAATTATTTTTCATTCGTTCATTTGTTTTCTGCCATCTTATATGGAGTTTTGTTTGCTATTACTTGCGTCCACTTCTGTCGCCTCTTGCAACAAGGCGAGCCTGTGTGATTTTGTCACTTGGCGTGGACCAGCTACCACCGATTACTGATTGCTCGTATGTTGCTGTCCGCAGGCTGGGGGTAAAAAACAAAATGATAGTCCGTTGTCTTTCTACCAAGCCAGGTCGGTGAGCGTAACTCGCACCCGAAATGACTTTCCCTGACCACGGTCGATATGGCGTAGTCCCGTGGTTCGTGGGTAGTATCTGACTTGGTCGGTTAGTCAAGTAAGCCATACCATGCGCTTTGAATAGGTCTTGTGTGGAAGCTACCTGAGGATGTCTTAGAAGTCGTCTTATTCGCCTGTCACAACTGACGAGAACAATAGATGGCCAGACACCGTTGTGAAATTTTCCAAAAATTGAAACATTTGTGGCACTGGACGGTTCGTACAACTCATTTCTACAGTCAGGAACGCGTCTTCTCCTTCTCTTTATGCCTTCAGTTCTAAGTCCCACCCAGCTAGTTCTTTTCAACTTGAGACGCCGTTTAGACACCGTGATCGTGTCTGGTCCTTAAGTAATGCCTAAATTTACGATGAGGACGATGTTGATCGTGACCATACTGACGGATTCGGCAGCGACAAGTAGACACCAGTATTTCCCTATCAGGAGCTTTGTCTTTCTCCCACTGCTCTAGAAGTGGATGGGAGACCGTTTCACCACCCTAGTCATTTTCTGTCTGTCCAACAATGCGGTTGAGGGGTTCCTTACCAAATGATGCCAAATGGGTTGCGGTCGTCGTGTGATCAGCTTCCGAGTACGCCAGCCTGCCAGTTCTGAATCGTCAGCATCATTCAGTTCCACTTAGACACGTCCCTTCGCAGATCTGTGCCGCACGAACTTTTTGCCGACGACAGTACTTCTATTCATTATTCGACCCATAAGGCTTCTCATCTACTCAGTGGGACGATTCGTTTATCTTTCAGTCCTTTGGACTTGAGGTGTCGGTCGGTCCCTTATTAAATCCGATACTCATCTGTCTGGTTAATATTCGCCTATCTAGGCTCGCATAATTGCGAGACATTCGTCCAGCAATTGTAGTCTGCCAGGGACACATGGGAAATTGGTGAAGAAACATGAAAATAAACGGCACTAAGAGAGGCGAGCAATGTACATGATAAATAACTGGGGTAATTCAAGTAAACTGCTGACCACTCATGGCTTCAAGCTAACGTATTTTGCTGACTTTGCAGCTCTTTGTCACGCTGGAGGGGGTTTTCATTCTCATAATCCTTCTTTCCTATCTTAAATATCCCATGCTTAACCTCGGACGAGTTTGGCTTTAGGCTTGTTATTGAAAGCAGCTGGAAGTCTCACATAGAGCATAATTTTAGGTGGCCATTTAGTAGAGTGACCGTTTGTACAGATACTTTTAAAGTGCCAGTTGCAAACAACGATGCGCACTACTGCCCGTACGGGATGGGCGTTGCCGTTACTCGCGTGTTTTTTGAAGCAGACGTGGACGCGTCTACCTCACTCCTCTGCACCGGCCGCGTTCCGATTGGAGGACGAAGCGAAACCAAACGAAGCCGGAAGTAGTTGCAATGTTTGACAAAAATAAACTGTCCGCCTATGCGTGGCACACACGCAGCCTGGTTCCTGACACCAAACGTGCCAGGTCTCTCTTGGGTCTCATCTGAGTGAGAGCGCCATAAATTCCACGTTAAGGAACTGTTACAGTCGAACCATTACTCCAAAGTATGATCTGGTTTTTTCGTCCGCAATTAACCTTTAAAACAAGGAAGGTTGGCGCGCCATGTGAAGGGGTACTTCAGCGTCGACTTCATCTTTCCTCCTATCATGCAATAGCGGCTCGTGAGAACCTTTCGGCCGACTGGACTCAGTGGCTGACGTGGCGTGACATGCACGCGCCAGATCTTCCTACCGTGTGAACAGATTTTACGCCAAACTACAGTTCTCATATAAATGAGATTTGCATATTCTCCAGTACGATGTTTAGCCCGTCATAACAATGTCAACGAGTTACATCACAGAGCTGTGATATTTGATATTTTGTTGATGACTGATGTGCACCTTCGTTTGACTGGATAGCTCTACTTATAGTCTAAGTAAGTTTATGTATGCTGGTAGCGATAGGCGGTACAGGTGAGAGTTGGATTGTACCGGTTTTCGTGCATATGCATGTGTGAATTTCCTGAAGCGATATGGGCAGGTAAGGTGTGCGTGGCGGGTGCCACTCAAAGCTCTAGGCAATGGTTCTTCAGCCACACTGTCATGGATTCCCAGATGGCCAACCAGGCTGGTGCGTGACTACAAGTTGAGATTATTTAGACTACTGGTCGTAGGGGGTGTCCCTTCTGTCCTGTCGGCGTTCCCGTTGCGGTGGGTAATAAGATGTTTGACCAGGGAAACCGGCCCTAGAGCGCGGTGTTAAACTGAGGAAAGCTGGGTGGAATTTCCTCAGTGATGACGCCCGTGGTGGTAGCTGTTTTGCTGTGCTGGGGTGGGTTGACAGCGTTGACATTCCGCGGCATCCCACCCCTGCGTGTCTGTCGTCTCGCTGATGGGTTTCGCAAATAGCCGCTCCAGCTTAGACGGCTCTCCGCCATACCTGTCCCATCCTATGCAAGCGTTTTCCTGGTTCCCTGGTCATGTGTTGACTTCTGCAGCGGCAAACCAGGAGTCTAGACGTCCGAGTAGTGTTTGGGAATATGCGATCCCTACAGGCCTACGACACGCAGCCATATTCTCGTTTATTATTTGGCTTTCAAGTAACGATTTAACCTTTTTCCCAATAAGGTCTTCTAGCGCTTTTGTTTCTTTTTTTCTCATGGGCTTCCGGGGAAAATTTGCTGGAGTCACTCAATATCGCTTCCATCTTTCACACGTAATCAGTCTTGTTTAGCATCACGACAACGCTTCCTTTGTCAGGTTTTGAGATGACGTCAGTTAGGGCCGAGATGTTTTGTCTAGTTAGCGGTGAGCGTTGCATAGTCGGGAAGGTTCTGCATTGATAGGCGATATCTACGAATTTTGCTTTCCAACCATCTCATATTGTCCTTTGACGTTGGTGTTAATTCGATAATTGGTGATATAGGTCTTCAAATTGAGCCTCAATCTACGTCGAATCTATTTTTCTTCTCGGCACACAAAACACGAGTCCCAAAGAGAGGGCCTCGGCTTGCACGTTAGTCAGTTTCAAATCCGACTTGTTAACAATGTAGTCATCTGGCTTTACTGCCAAAATTGTACAAACCAGGGGTACCGTTACGGCCGAGTAGTATTTATTTTTTTCTGCTGGTAGAGGTTTCATCGCGCGCAGCTGTCACTTCGACTGAACTTGACCGTTACCATCATCATCAGATTGTAAGCCCCAGTGGTCATTCCGTGCCACATCACGTCCTGCCGATTCACGGCAAATGTCCGCGCGTCCCACATTTCCTCGACCAGCAGTGCGCCCTATCAATCGGATGCTAACATCGATGGAACCTGACCTCATGATCACACATTGTCCGTCAAGCTCAACGGTCTCGTGGTCTTATCGGGATTGGTAAATTTCTGGAGCTTGTACCACTGCACGAAAATTGTCAATACCATATTCCATCTCTTCGCTATCGTGCCGTTTCGCCAGCCTCCTTCATTTCTGCATCTGGTTAGGTGAAATTTGAGACCCCAGTGATCTGGCGTCGTCGTCGTCTCACCTTTATTTAATGCATTACCCTTTGTGTATTTATCTGCTGTCAGCTTAGTTCGTCCACTCATGCCGTCCTCTTACTCTGACCTAGTGCTCGCTGAAGATGCTATCAAGGCGGCCGTCTCCGACCTGAAGGCCAAGCAGCGGTCTTCCTCTTAGTGGCCCCGGCTCCAACCCTTCTACGGCAGGCTTGAGTCTTAAGAACACGCCTTAGATTGGCAATCAAAACGACTTTTTCATACTTTTGTCTCGTACAGCGCTGACTTGTTGCTACCATTTTCATTAATGCCCATAGTCTTCGCTGTAGTTTAATCCAGTTGTAATTTTTCACGCTCGACATTTATTTCTTCTAGTAAATAGATAAAAATTGCTGTTTGTATTCGACTCTGCCGGGAGCCTTATTTCCTACCTAATTAGCCAAATTAACGAGCTTCAGGAGTATAGTTCCGACCTATTTTAGTCTTAATGTGCATCAAATTGTGACTAGGACATCCATTCATGTAGGGACGATACTTGTCTTGACCAAGTCAAAATGGGGCGGAATGTGTAGTTGATGGCTCAACTCATAAGATGTGCGTAACTGCATGAAAGATCCCTTATCCTGCAGAAACCGATCCAAGTGGATCCACTCAGACCCCCATTTAAAAATAAATGACCTACAGTCGGATGAAAACACGAAAGAAGTTCAGAAACTAATGCTGCACTAGTAAGGCATAACGGTTCTTTAAAAAAATGTCGACAATGTGAAAATTCGTGTCGAATGAGCTAGTTCAACCTCAAGAAGCACATGACCGTGTAAACAGCTGTGCAAGTAGAGCGGCGTGAGAGTAACAGCCTCAAAAGTCTCGAGAATTGGCGTAGTGTGCAATGCTGTTGCAGTCGACTGCTGGTAGTTTGACGGATCTCAAGATAGTGCTATGGCAATTTGAGTTGGATTTTCACTTTTGTCCGAGATTCGGTTGACTACGACGGGGTGATTGTTTTTTTTCTCATGAGCAGGTTCCTCCGAGTAATATGAGTCATCGTAAGACAACCTATCAAGAGAACGGTCAGTGGCTCGGGGATTTGAGTATAGTTAGGAAGTCCTATCATAAGTGTGCCGTTTGCGGTGTATAATGGAAGTCCCCCCCCCCCCGAATACTGCCGTGTGCTTTTCGGTTACGGTGGATTCAGTTAGGGTTTAAGACGTATTTGCGGCTGCAGTGGGTGCGCCGGGGCTGTCGGCCATCTAAATGGATTGCCCGAAAGGATGGTTTCTGTAGTCTGTGTTTATCAAAATTCTCAAGGTATAGCAGATCTTGAAGGCCTTTACCTGCGCTGTAAGTTTTCAGATATCATTTTTTTGTGGACGACAGTTCATGAGCTTAGTTGGAATTCACTTCAGTATGAAAACTAATCACTTAAGAGGATGTACGCCCACGACGAAGGCATGTGATGAATATGCTCTTTATTATTTTGGAAATCCTGTTGTCACCCAGCGCCATGTCCTTCGCCATTTTCCTCATCGAGACAATTTTTCCTCTGCGAAGGGGAAATACTTCGTCTTAGAGCTGTTTTCCTTATATTGCCTAATTAAGTCAGTTTATTAAGGGAATGAGGCTTTCGCCCTTGAGCTCCCTATTCATATCGATAAACAGAAATAAAGTCATCAATTACATCAGCAAATGCGAAAAGTTAAGAAGTTAGCGGTAAGTGTGAGCTAGGCGCAAACTGCCGCCGCTAAAACAATCGTTATTGTATGTACAGTAGGTTCTCAACAAATGAGCGTCTAGTCTGCACTTAAAGGATTTGACACTTTCGGAAAGAACGACGGCGTCAGGGAGTCCATTCCATGCCCCAATGACCCTGTGAGAGAAGGCGTTCCGTCGGACTTCCGAATGAGCCCGCTTCCTTTGCAGTTTGAACGGATGACCCCGCAGACGGTCAGTCCGGGCCAATTCAAAGATTTCACCAAAGTCTAGGGCACACTCACGGCTTCTGACAATCCTGTAGGTTTGAATGAGATCGCCGCGCAGTTGCCTGTAATTGCATGCCAATTCTCACTAATGTAAATGCACTATGGGGTGATCACAAAGATATTTAGGTATTTTTTTGCAATGCTAACTTGGTATCAATATCGCTTTTCAATTATATATTAGCCGAATCTGAACCACTTAAGAGAACAACCTGGTGTATGTTCGACGTCTTAAGTGGTGTTTTGGTGGAGGTCCTTATCACGGTTGTGAGGTATTAGTGTTACGGTGTAAGTAAAGAGGGACTACTCGCCAGCGTTGTTACCTTTTTAGGGCACAAAGTTGCGCATATTTGCGAATCCTTTTTTTTTAAAAAAAACAGAGGGCTCCTGTTTTTCTTCAAGCAATGTGGTCATTCACACCTGATTGCACTCGATTTACGCAGACCAAAAATCTCGTGCCTAGTTAGCGTAGACTGTTTTGGCTTTGGCCGTTGAAATTGTTGCCACCTACTAGATAAATGTGTGAAAATATGCAGATGTGGTCAGCGGTAATTATTAGTACAGGAAATTGTTTGGATGTAAAGGTGAGTCGGCTTCCACCGCGAAATGTACGGTTCGTGACTTAACTGAAGAAGAATCGCGAAATTCTCGCAAAAATCCTTCCCCCATCCACAAAAGTTTTGCTCCGTTTAAGAATCGATCGTTCTCCGAAAGAAGACATATTTTGGTTTATCGGTTTGTTGGCTGGAAAATAATATATTTTAGCAAAACTCAACACAAAATGTTATTCTATGACAGGTCAGTCCTTCAAGGCCTCCACTTTCACGTCTACAAAGTCCACTTTGAAGTCCGTTCGTTGGGAGTGGAGGGGATATTTACGTACCGCTTCGCTGTGGCAAATGCATGACGTACAGTGAGTGACCGATCTCATGAAATGTTGGCTGAAATTCTGAAATACATTTTTGATTAGAAAGGATTACTTGGGCGCGGTTGTAATACTGATTATCTTAAGGCATACTCTTATAACATTTCAGACTCGCCAGGATGTCAGCTTTTGAATACACTGCTTTTCAATCTCCTTACTCGGTAAAAAATGACTACTTAAGTAGCACACATTTTTCCCATTGATTTTCGATGGTCATGCAAATCCAAATATATCTTATAGAAGCCATAAACAAAATATGATTTCTTTCAGTCAATTAATAGAGAATCACGCCTTCTTGATATCTTTTACTCAAGCAAGGAGTCTAATTAGGTTTTAAAAAGTTTTCTAATTGCCGAATAATTTGGAGCCTGATCATTCGTTGCGCTAGCGCTTAGTGATTTCAGTCCACAAGGTGCATGCGTTCCGCGCAAAGAAAATCACATTTTTCTATGCCATCAAAAAGATATTATACAGAATCGATGAAATTTTGCAATGGATGAAGACTGTGTTGTACATTTAATGAGGAGCTGTAGTAAACGGGCAGGTACGATGTTATGTGAATGGACATTGCGCGGTCTTAAAAAATCGCATGATTAAAAACTTTTTTAAAACCTAATTATACTCCTTCCTTGAGTAAAAAATATAAAGAAGACGTTATTCTCTATTAATTGACTGAAAGAAATCATATTTTGTTTATGGCTTCTATAAGATATATTTGGATTTGCATGACCATCGAAAATCAATGGGAAAAATGTGTGCTACTTAAGTAGTCATTTTTTACCGAGTAAGGAGATTGAAAAGCAGTGTATTCAAAAGCTGACATCCTGGCGAGTCTGAAATGTTATCAGAGTATGCCTTAAGATAATCAGTATTACAACTGCGCCCAAGTAATCCTTTCTAATCAAAAACGTATTTCAGAATTTCAGACAACATTTCATGAGATCGGTCATTCACTGAGAATTTGTCAGGACCCACCTACTGTATGTGAGTACCTGACGAGTCGTGTTCGATCCGAAACTCACCCGGCAGACGGGGACACCAGCTGGGAGCGCCGATGACCCGTCTGTGCGCTTTGCCGGAGCCGCGAAGGTTTCTGGCTTGGGGCTTCTCATCCCCACGAACTCCCCTTTTGCTTTCCTATTGGCAAATATGGTTTGCCACCTATCTGATGAAAGGTCACGAAGTGTGCATTCAAATCCTTTTAGCGCACGAACCGCCCATCCGCATCCACGAAGACTCTACTGCGTTAAATAAACGACCGATTTTTAGAAGAAGACACAGTCTGCTTTATTCAGGCTAACAACAATTTATTTTAACAAAAACCATCAAATTTAAAAGTGAATTTGTGGAAGGTCGATAATTCAAGGTCTAATATAACTGCCGACAGAGGTGGAAAATGTCATACAAGGGGAAAATAATTAAAAACAATAATAAATGCAACGTAGCAGTACTTTTGTGACTGTCCTTATGTTCTTTAAATTGCTGGTAATCTGAAGGACAAAGAGAGTACTAAGCTGCATTAAAGCGTGTTTTATTGCCTTGTGCGGATTTCTTTTGATTAGTGCGAGGAGATTTTGAAAAAAAGTTCGACTATACATAACTGAATCTGCCGTATGCTAATGAACTCAGAATCCCAATTTTCGTTCCTAGATGGGATTTACGTGAAAATTGCCTTGGCTTTGTTAGCGTTCCCTTATAGCACAGCTCATAAAATAAGGAACTTTGATATGTAGCACTAAATAACTTGGGAAATTATTTTGATATTTGGCAACGTCCGATTTTGCCTAATCTTGACCTGTTTTCCTTCCATAAAACAGATTCGAGACGAATCGTTCTCTAGTAAAAGGCTTTCTGTGTCATAGATCAATTCAATAAACAAAATAACCACCAAATGACTGCAGTACTAACTTTTAAAATGCCGATCACGATATGTTGTGAGTCAGGTCATGTACTGTACGTTCTGAAGGATGGCGGGGTCAGATGTGGTTATGTAGTCGCACCTGAAGTAAACATATCCCAGCCACCTGCCATATGGGATAGGTGGTAATAGGGGTTTTTACAGGTTGGACCGGAGAACGCATAGGCGACGAGGTCAACTAATTGTGTGCAAAAGAACAGCTATTGGGAATGAGCGGTTATACATTGAGTGTTTGAGAAGTAGTTGCCCTAACCCCAAGACCTAACTCTAACCACAACCCATAACCCTAACACCCAACCATAACCCTCAGTCCTAACTCTCTAAGCCCTAACCTAGCCCTTAACCGCAGCCCTAAACCCTTA